TAATTTACGCCCAGACTACTGGGGGAGCCGTTTCTGTCGCCAACGCCGCAGCTCGAAGGGGAGGAGTTGCCACCAATGCAGACAAAATTGATGCCCCCAGCATTGACAACGGGTTGACAGAACTGGCCTTCGGAATCGGCGGTTACGGTAGAGGCAGTAGTTCTCGTTGACGACGCTGAATCAGCCATTGGGAAGTCTTCCACCGTGTTCTTCATGCTTGCAACCTGCACGGGTTAAAAAAACCACAGGAAGTCCAAGTAAGCAACGGAAACCGGTGTAAGTATTGATTCCTTATCAATCTATTTACAGAGGAAAAGCTGCCCAGGCTTAAGTTTCGTGGCAAAAGAAGTTATAAAATCTACTAGAACCAGAAATAAAAAAAGTAGGCAGGAGGGGCCATGCAACCACGACCGGCGTTCTAGTGAAATTGGGCACAAGAAAACTAACAAAAGGTACCTTCAGTGTACCCAAGATTATAAACGAAGTCTGCAGGCAAATATTCTCTGCCTATAATACCAGCTGTTAGAGTTGTCAGGGCTTCTGTCGAGACCTTAGACAGAGCGGGACAAATGAGTTTCGTTAGCGGTCGGGTGAACGTTCATCAGTGAAGGCGATATATTCAACAGGGATGACATGACGTATGCTGCAGTTATAAGGACGGTGTTGAGCAGTTTACTTGATTATAGTGGGCTCGCGTGAATGGGTGCCCAAGTACGGTGGTACATCCCCTTGAACTCGCAATTGTCTGCCTGAGTTTCCACGCTTTCTAGCTATTCCGCATTTTCCATAAGACGCACCTGTAAATACACGAGGCTGCGCACTGTGCAGCGGCCAGAAACTGCTATCTGCCTATACTGCGGACAAAACCAGACTATTGGTGCGTCTCCAGATCCTTGATGAATGTCGTTTCTGCTGTCTAAATTTGGAAGGCGTCAACCATGGTGTGGACAAAGCCACTGCGAGTCTTCTCAATGCAATCTTGTCTCTGGACCATGAGTAAGAGGAGAGAGTATGGTCGATGCAAGTCATCCCCACTTAGCCGTCTACAAGAACACAACAACCCCAATCCCGCACCATCTCTGCGGTCTGGTAGGGGACAACGAACAACCTCGTGGTCGGCCCAGGTCATGTGGGGTCCTGTTCCAGCCATACCATTTGTGAGCCATACAGAATTCCGCTAGCTGAGGAGGGATACACTGTTTACCTGCTCAAATACGATGGCACCATCAAGGATATTCTAAAGAAATGGTGGTTTACGCTGCCTGCACAGTTGGCCGCGGCTGCCAGACACAATGGACAGAAAGCAGAAACACCGCCCATCCACCTTCCGCCAGAGCGACTTCGTCCACTCTGACAGTCTGGAGTGGCCGGTCTTACTTTTTACAACCCAGTGACCAGTAGACCGAAAAGGAGGGCAGCCTTGGACGCTAGACAACTAGTTTGATACATGGTGAAAGCAAAGAGACTCATCTTTTTTAAAGAAAAGAACATCGGAATGAATGAAGTGCGTTTGTCCGGGCGCGCGGGGGTGGGGGTGGGGGGACTCGCCGCTAAAATGGACGCTGTCTGCATTACAGGGCATCAACAACTACCTAATAACAACGCGGTTTAAAGTCCCCTGCAGCAAATAGCCACTACCACAAGCGCCTAAGCTCCGATAAATGTAAGCCTTGACGTCGTGAACGACGTCTTTTACGAGAACTCGTACATCCTCCTCTCGCCCATGCAGAAAACAAATAATTGGTCCCAGAGACATCGGTCCGCGACTAGACACAGATAACGCTACAGGACAGCGAGTGCTTGATTGTCAAGGAATAAGCAATTCAGCGATGATACCCATTTGAGCATTCAAGAAGTCAAGATAGGCGAACGAACTTTTTCGATTAATTCATCATCAGGCGTGTACAGTAATATAAAGGGGGTAGAGTTAGCAAAAGTTTAAGCAACCTTCGTAGTGGCCCTACGGCTCCCGTGGCCGAGAACAAACTCAAACTCAACATGCGTCAGCACACCTTCTAGCATGCCGCGAGATGAAGAGCAGACAGTGACAACTGGTGTGAAGACGCCGCGACCAGTTGATATGAGCTAATTATGAGACACGTTCCCCCCCTCCCCCCCTACCCCCCTTTGATCTCTTAAAAATTCCCCCTACCCCTCAAATACCGT